TAAAGGTGGCAGAAGAACGATGAGACCAGCATTTCTCAACCTTGGCAAGTTGAAGGTGTGTGAAGGATTTCAACACTTGAATTAAACACATTTGGACTAAAATACAGTACCCATTGTGGATGGGCAGCCTGGTCTCCGAGCAAAGCCAGGTCAACTGGAGTTGCCATTCACACCACAGCTGGAGGACGCCAAGCTGGAGAACAACATTTCTAACCCAGAGCCAGGTTTCGTATCAATGAGATAGGAAATGCGGCCCAGCTTCTGCAGGAACCTGGGATGAGGTACAACCGCTTCCTAAACCCAAGAAAGCAGAGGTAGAGATGGGTCTGGAAACCAAACCCCAGTGGGGAAAAGTTGGAGAAGACAAGGTGAAGAGGAGACAGGACCATCATTTTTCAACATCTGAAAGGCTGCGATGGAGCAGCTGTGCTCTCTGCTGGGGTGGCACAGCCCACCTGGCCTCCAGTGGGCTTTTTTCATTGTCAGTGTATGGAGAGGGGGAGATTTAACCAAGGACAGAAAGTCATCTACCACAATCACTTTTTCTGAGAGGTTGGACTTCTATGATTCTGTGACAACATCCGGAAAAATGAAGGGGCCTAGTCACTCTAAGAGTAAGATGAGCTGTATCTAAATTAGATGATGATAGCTAGATAACTAGATAGCTGGATATTTTATAGAAAAGGTAGGTACGTAGGTAGGTAGAAGATAGACAGATAGCTAGATAGATAGACAGACAGACAGATGACAGAGATGATAGATAGATAGATACATACAAACAAACATACATACATACATACATACATACATACATACCATACATACATACATATATACATAAATACATACATACATATCATTCCAGGAAAAATCCTTTTCCTCATTCCTACCAGGATCAAATCATCATATCTCGGTCTTTTTAAGATTCCTACCTTACCACGAATGGTGCCTCCTGCTTGATCTAAGAGAGCATCCCTGGATTTTCTCTCCTAGACAAGCCCTATATCCACATCCAAGAACGAACCACAGCTTCCAATTCTGGTTTGTTAAGAGGGGAGAAAACTTATGATTTGGATAATATGATAAATAAATGAAGCACAACAGATGCCCTCCTGGATTGTTCTCTAGCCAGATAAGAGAAGCGGCATGAGAAAGATTGCTCAAAAACACACTTTGTTCATGCTATGGTTGAGAAAAACGTGAGCCTTATCTACATTTTTGGTTGAATATTTTTAGCAATATTGAGTTATCATAACGTGCATGTTCTGATAACAGAACACATATTTCTGTCATCTAGAATGCTTACTTAGAACAAGTCCGTATTTAGGATTCACTTCAGGATTAGCTGACAATGCTAAGAGAAGCTGTCTTGAACCTTCTGCCCCAACAGTAAGTCCTAGAGATGCCAATATGAAACTCCTAAACAGGCCTGGCATTAGTCACTCAAGTTGGACTAAAACTCCCAGAATTCCTTCACGAAAACTCAAGTGTCCTTGGGAATTCTGGGAGATGGAACCCCAAACATCTGAAAATGTTCAGCTGTGGAAGGTCCATCTAACCAATATCATTAGCTTTGGTTTTAACTTACGAAGATGCTGAGAACTCCTTCCTTTGAGAAGTATAAAAGCTGAAACATTGGTGCTTCCTACTATTATGGGCTACAAGAACTCACTGAGATAGATCTGTGTCTCTTGAAGATCTCTAAACTGGTGGCAAAGGGGAGAACCATTCCATGATATGAAAACTGTCCCTGAGAATCAATTTGGAGACACTTCCATTTATTTCGTTCTTAAATGGCTTTCTTTGGGCCATAGTTTTGACCCTGGCAGCCCACATGAAAAATGAGATTTTTCCCATGACATGTGAGTGTGACCCTCAAGATAAAACCTCATCATCCCTAGATTAATAGAATTTCCAATGTCCCAATAGAGAAGGTGTGCTTATCTTGGAGGAAATTAGATGGGCAGATGTTCCACAGGGGAGCCAAACCATAGCTGCTACCTTCATTCAACTGGATTCCAAAGGATTATCTGCCCCTAACAAAGCCTAAGCATTTTAATCTTTATTTTTAATTTTATTGTGTGACTTATTTTACTAGTGCTAACATTTGGAGGAACTGGGGAATAGCTAGTAAATCAAAGGACTGACCTCCTCCTGGGTTTTTCTATCCCAATAATATCACGTTGCTCATAAAACTCAAAAACAACCATCATAAACTAAATCTTCCATCAGGAACTACATTTTTAATTTTAAAAGCCCGCCATCTCTTTCCCAAAAAACATTTTATGGGTGTGTTCTGAGGGCATTTTGCAGATAAATAAAGCTTTCACTGTCCATTTTTTAAAAATCTAAGTCCTGGGGATTTTACGTTGATCAATTCTTGCTGTTCCACAAAAATGCCACTTCAATTAGTTCTAATAAACATAAGACACCATGAAGCCTCTTGTCCCCTGGGCAGTATCTGTTCCATTGGTTTTGAGGATAATTGGGCTTTTAGAAGAAAGAGTCTTACAGAGAAAAATGACATGAACAACCACAAGGCAGGACTAGTGAGAAAAATGACCAAACATGCAATCATATATTGTACATAGGTACATATTGTACATTGTCTATATATATCTCCTATCTAGAGATACACTCACGCGAAATAAATCCATCAAATTTGGAATGAACAACAATAACAAATAACACATTTGATTCAAAAAGACGTCCTGTTGAATTTAGGGAATATTTCAGATTCTCTTTCTCACTGCAGATATAAGGACCAATTTGCGTGCCATCCTTCGATGGACTTTTTAAACATAGGTAGTAAATAGGATATAATTTAATTAAACGCATCCGATCCTTCATAACAAGAACAGATCAATTCCAGCACAGCACATCATTGCAAGAACTGAGAGGGATCATTCTCTAGTGTTTCTTTCCTAAATTCTCACCCTCCAGGAAACCACAGCACAAAGCTATATAGCCTGACCCAAACATACCTCCGAAAAGAACTCCAAAAAAGTCACAAAATCTAAATATTTAATGCTCTTTTTTCCTCCTTAACCTTCAAACCTTTTCGCAAGCACAAAAGATGAAAAGATATTGACTGGGGTGAAATGAAGTTATCATCTCAATTTTCCTGCACACTTCAAGCAACCATTACAATATTGTAAAGCGCCTTTCTGATCACTTTTCATGGGAAGAACCATCCCAATTCTTCGGTTGACAAAAGGCTACACCAGGGGTGTCCAACCTTGGCAACTTGAAGACCTGTGGACTTTAACTCCCAGAATTCCCCAGCCAGCCATGCTGGGAGTTGAAGTCCACAAGTCTTAAAGCTGTCAGGGGTGGACCTCCCTGATCTAGACCATATAAATCTCCTGAAAGATTCCTTACCTGCACAACCCCATTGATTCCAATCCTCCTCAAATCATTTAACTGGGTTGCTAGAAGGTTTAAAAAAATAAATAAAGCCAGGCCTGGGGGAGTGAGGAGGGGTCATTGCCAGGAAGAAGGGGAGGAGAAAGTGGCTTGAATGTCCAAAGGTAATTAGAGCAGCCCAGAGCTGTTTTGGACCACATAGAAGGAGAAGAAGGAATCCTAGGTATGTTCCCGGCCTTTGAGTTATTAATAAATATAACCACGTCAGGACATAAATTAATTAACTAAAATAAGAGGGGCTCCAGGGGGTTCTCTTTCACTCATCGTCTGTAGGAAGAAGAAGGGAGAGGCATTGTCAAACCACCAGGCCTTTGAAGAAGGAGAAAGGTAGGAAGAAAGTCTACCAACTGGATCATCAGCATGGTTTTTTAAAAATTCCTTCTCAGTCATCCTGGGCACCACCTAAACCATTCAGCACTGCTCGAGGGTAGGGGAGGGCAACCTCAGCTGCAACCCTCCCTCCTGCAAAGCTCAAAGGCCCATCTAAACAATGGGTGGGAAGTCTTCCCTTCTTTCTCCAAAGAGAGAAAAAAGCTACTTTGCTCAGTCCTGAGCTCGCATTGGCCTGCTGAAAAGTCTCACGGAGCCTGCAAAGGAGGAAGCGGGCAGGAGGGCACCTGGCCTGGGTGGCTGGGACCACTGCCACCATCATCCTCTGCTCCTTCACCTGAGAGTGACTAATTGGCAAAGAATTGGAGGTGGCCCTGCACTTTAATGCCCTTCTTTTGCAAGACACCCGTCTAAGGTAGTGCAAGCCCCTCTTCCTGGGTGCCCTTGCCATCTCCACCACTCCAGGACCCTTCCCTGGCCATTGTGGACCCCTGCCATGCCCAAGGAGCACAGGGCTCCCCTGCCAGGAGAGGAGCTGGGAAGAGAGAAGCCAACCGGCTTGCCCAGCAGCTGGACACCGGAGGAGGAGGAGGCAGTGGAGGGGAGAGTCCCCTTTGGTTCCAGCCAGGCTTCGGGTGGGAACGGGCCCGCCTGGGCCTTCCCGAGCACCGAGTTCCGCAACCTCCCCATTGCCCCGCGGCAGCTCCGATGCAAGCCGCGCCGCCTCGGGAGACGGACGGAGGGGTCGGCAGGGCGAGGGGGCAGAATCGGTGCGGTCCCTCCGGTCCAAAGCAAACCCAGGGCCCGTAAGAAGGCAAGGATGCTCCGCGCCGGCATCTCTGGCTCCCCGAGCACCGACTTCGGGAGGGAGCCGGACCGGGGGTTGGGGTGGGGGGAGGAAGGCAAGGCTCCGGTGCTTGTACCGAGCGATCCGGGCACGGGAGCCGCGGGGCCTCTGCAACCCGCCCTCCCCCCCGGGGTCTTCTCCGGGGCTGCAAGCGGCGAGGTCGGAGCGCGCATCGCGGCGCTGCAGCCGGGGGTGGGGGGGGGGGGGAGGGAGGCCAGGCAAGGCGGCGGCGACGCCGGGGAGGGCGGAGGTCAGCAGGCGGGTCCTGGTCCCCCCCGCCCCCCGCGGCCCAGACCCAGCGGGCGCCCCCCTTCCTCCTCCTCCCTCCCTCCCGCTCCTGCCCTCAGGCTCAGCATCCTCCTCCGCCTCGGCGGCGGCCGGGGCCGGGCCGACTCACCAGAGCCTCCTCTTTAAGGGCATGAGGCTGCCCCGGTTGGAGGCGGTCACCCCGATGGCCATCTGCAAGACCGTCAGGTACTTCTGGTACTTCATCGTGCCGCCTCCGCCGCCGCCGCCGCCGCCACCGCCGCCGCCCCCCCGGTCCCCGCTGCGTCCCCGCCGCCGCCAGAGCCGCTCCAGCCGCTGCATGCAACCATCAAGGGCTGATTTCCAGGCATCCGCCGCCGCCGCCCGCCCGCCCGCCCGCCCTGCGTCGCGCGCCTCCCGCCTCCCGCCCGCGCCCCGCCCGCCCGGAGCCCCCCTCCCCCTCCGCCTCCTCCCGCCGCCGCCAATGCCGCCCTCCGCGCTCCCACCTTGCCCGCCCGGGCTGGGATTCCGCTTCCTGCTGGGGCGTCCGCACGTGCCCTGCGCGTGGCAGGTGGGAAGGGGACGGCCCGGATGCGCCCGGGCTCGCTGGCTCCTAGCCGGGGCTCCTGGCCAGGGGGGCCTCCGCTGGGTGAGTTGGCTGGGTGGGCTTTCCGGGTCTCCTTCCTGGATGGAGTAAGGGTCCTTGGGCTTGGGGGATCTAGGAGGACCCCTGGCAATGCCATCCCGGGTCCCCATCCTGCGGGATGAGGTGGCTCTGGACAAAACGGTTGAGTGGGCTCTGAGTCCGGTAGGCTCTAATGCCCATCTCCAGAGGAGAGCTGGGTGTTAAATCAGCCTTGTCCATCAGACCAACAAGGGAGCAGTAAACAACCACCCCATCAAGGAAGCACCGAGGAGGAAACCACACTCCCAGCAACACTGGCAAAGCAAGCCCCTTGTATACCAACAGAGAGCAAACGCCCCTCCCTTCCAGCACTGATGATGTTCCCTAGTTGGGTCATGAGACATCATCTGCAAGAAAACAACCCAGTTCAGAGAACAAAGTTCAACCCAGAGCTGCAGAGGCTCGCCTGCCTCGGTACCATTTTCAGAACCATGGACAGATCCGGAAATCGCGGCTCTTTTAAGCGACAAAGAACCCGGGGCTCCGATCATTAGAAGATCTTCCAGAAATGAGAACTCGGATGCCGTCCCCAACACAACTCTCAAGGACATCCATGGGCCATCTGAACAAGGCCCATCTAATGCGCTAGGGAACGGAGTCCTTCCAGAAACCAATTCCTGTCTTGTTTCCCGCTGTGCTCTTCTCAGTGAGAGGCTGAGCAGAGCCACCCAGGAGGTCTATGGCATGGGTAGTTGGTTTGGGCAGCTGGTTCGGGCCTAGAAGTAGGTGCATTAAAAAAAATAGGTGATTTTAGACTTCAGACTGGGTGGTCTTCAACTCCCAGAACTCCCCACCCACCTTCAAGCTGCCAAGGTTGAGAAACACTGCACCAAAGATGGTTGAACGATCAAAGGCGGAACCCAGATATCCTTTCTACATCTCTAGTACTCGACAGAAATGAGGCACATGATGGCTGATGCGATGCTTGGCTTGGTTTCCTGATGGCTACCTGAGCTTGAATCACCTTGTCCTGCCTGGGACTGGGGGAGCTGAAGTTGCATGAGCAGAACATAATAGAGAAGACAGTTCTGTGACCAGGTCACAAAAACCTGATCATATGTCCACATATGAGCCTTCCTGAAACAATTTAGCATCGAACACCCCACCCCCTTCACAGATTGTGGTGGTGAGAAAATGTGAGGGGGCTTTTACGCAGGGCCTTCGGCTCCTTGAGGTCAAAGCAGGTTCTCAAGATGTTACTCAACTCAAATTTCACATCCTTCATTGCATTCAAATCAAGAAACAGATGTCAGAAGCAGGTTTTTTTGTCCAGCTCGGCATAATTCAGAGGCACTGAGCCTTGTGATGCTCCGATGTTATGAAGACTCTAATCGGTGCAGTCAGCACGGCTAATAGCCAAGGAGGAGGAAAACCGTAGTGCAAAACACATCTGGCAAGACAACCCTGCCTTGCCGTGTGGACACAGCACATTTTTAATTCTCCTCTTTGCTCATTTCCATAGCTGCACACTCCCCACCCCCCTTCAACAAAGGACCTCATCTCTCTCCCACATCTGCAGTATCCCACCACCCTCATCATTCTCCTTGCACATCTCAGCCTGGTCATCCCTTACAATAAAGCTCCATTATCCATCTCCGCAGCAGCCCATAATAACATCCTTGCACTTTCTATAACCTCTTGGTTTTATGAATAGATTTTAGAAGGCCAACAAGGACAGCTCTTAACTCAGGGGGGGTATGGGGGAAGCTGACCCATAGTGCAAGTTCACAGGGCACGTGCAACCAAATCTAAGCAAACTCCACTATGGTTCAGAGGTGTTGGGCAAATCCAGCCAAAAAGGGCTTAAGGAATAAGTTGTGCATTCTCTGAAACCGATTCAGGAGGACTTCGGATCTCCTGTCAGCTCTCCGTGAAAGCAACCCAACTTTTTAAGATTTCTGCAAGTTTCTCGCTGTGGAAAGCTGCTTTAAGAGCTTGAACTCATTGTGTCTGACCTTCTGGGGGTTTTATTTTCCCTGACCTTGGCCTTCTTCTGACATTTTATGTTTTATTCTGCATTTTGCTGCTAGTAAGACCTTGAGTCTTACTAGGCAGGAGTCCGTTAAATAAGAAAACACAACCCTCGTATGGAACAGGATGATTGTTGAAATACATTTTGATGAGCAGCATGGAAGCACAATTCTGGCATTTCTTCTGTTCTAACCCACAATTTCTAAGGCACATGGTCTTGGGGCGCTCTCTTTCTCAATTTCACGGGCAAATTTTATTCTAGGAATCAGAATTGCTACCTCTGGAGCTGGGGTGTGAAAAACAATCTTCAGCTTTTATTTTCTGCCTTTGAATCCAGGTGAGATGTTCCTCTCTTTTCCGACCGCAAGCGTGGAGTGAGAAAAAAGAGAGCGCCGGCGTGGTTTTCAAAGAAACCTTGAATGCTCCCAGGAGTTCTCGGGCGTTGTTGCCATGAAAGAAAACGTCTTTCGCAGCTGGGCTGCCATCCAACTGAAGAGTTCTGATTTCTTGGGGAAATCAATGGGTCTCAGGTAGACATTTGCTGGAGTCTGCAGAGAGGCATCCGAAGTGTCAAGGTGAGCCAGAAAACGCAGCAGGGCCAACGGCGCTGAATGGGACGGAACAGACCTACTGGGAATTTCAGGCCCCAAACGGTTGATGGAAGTTCTTAGCATCGGCAGGGAATTCCCCCATTCTGCATCAATTGCCGGTTAGGGGTCTCTTGGACATCCATCGTTGAAACAAGGCTAAGAGGAACTGTAGAAAGCCTCTGAAGATCAGAAGAAGAGTGCTGGAATAAGTGTGTGGGGGTGACTTCATAGAACATAGCATCCTATGGCTAGGAGGAACCTTGGAGGTCTTCTAGTCCAACCCCTTGCTCAAGGAGGAAACCCAATACCAGGAGTGTCCAACCTTGGCAACTTTAAGACTTGTGGACTTCAACTCCCAGAATTCCCCAGCCAGACAGCATGTCCTATACCAGGGGTTGGCAACCTTAAGCACTCAAAGAGCCACAAAGGTTCTAACCAGAAGCCCCCCGTTCAATTCTGGAGCCAACCGGAAGTCCGGTTCCTCCACCATAGAGTCTCCTCCTAGCACGGCATCCTTTTTCCTCTACCTGTCCTAACCGAAACCCCTATCAACTGTGGAGCCGACCGGCAACAGGGAGCCACAGCAGAGGGATGAAAGAGCCACATGCGGCTCCAGAGCCGCGGGTTGCTGACTCCTGTCCTAAACCATTCGAGACAAATGGCCATCCAATCTCTTCTTAAAAACCTGGAGCCTCCCAACATCCCAGTCCAGTGGCTGCCCAGGCTATTTTTGAAAACCTCCAGCGATGAAGCGCCCACAACTCTGGGAAGCAAGTCTTCTCCATCTTCGGGCTGAGAAAGAGGGACTGGCCCCAAAGGTCACTTAGATTGCTTTGTGCCTACAAGCAGGAGTAGAACTCACGGTCTCCTGGGGCCTTAACCGCTAGTCCAAGCTGGCTGTCACTGGGTTAAGTAAACTAGCTAAAAGATGTCCAGTTCTTTGCAAGCTCTCCTAATTGTGAATGTTTCCACTTTTAATACTTTTGATATTTCTTTAACTCATGATGTGGAATTAGTTCATCTGTACATGCTTCCTGTCTGGACTACCTCGCAAGGCTGACCCTTGATGTTGATCCAACCCTTCTGAATGAGGCCAGAGCTACAAATATAGAGACCAGATACGTGACATGGCTGGTGATACACAGGCTCAACATTGGGGCTTCGGTCTACCCTATTGGCAGAGGAGTGGAAATTTCAGGAAAGAGACATTAGGATCCTGGCATGACCCATTTCAATTTGGCTGGAAATCCCACATGGATAAAAGTAAGAAAGAAAGAATGGTGAGCAATTTCCATTCCATTGGGAAAAGTAATGGGAAGCAAGAGAGGGGAACTATGATCATGAAACGGTGTCTCATTTTGGAGCAGTAGGATGGCAAATGAAGAAGCAGCAAAATCAGAACCAACAACTTCCCTCATCTCTGATTAGTGGTTTGCCTCTAAAACATTAAAATATGTTTTAGACTAGAGCAGAGGTCTTCAAACTTGGCAGCTTTAAGCTATGCTGCCTGGAGAATTCTGGGAGTTGAATCCACAAGTCTTAAAGCTGCCAAGTTTGAAGACCTCTGGACTAGAGGCAAACAACATCAGAGAAGAGGGAAGTTGTTGGTTCCGATTTTGAAATTCGTTTAAAAAATTTTAAAAAGTGATTTGGGAGCATTTCTCTGAACACGCTCGCATTTTTGTTTCCAATCTCACCAACGTACAGTACTTGTTTGTAGCTGTCAAAAGCGAATGGTGCCAGGCGGTCCTTTTAGAAATATAAATCGTTTTATGGAGCTTTCCCTAACATAAAACACTGTTGCAATTGCACTAGTCACCAATAAAAGAGAATAATTGTAGCTCGGGGTTGGAATGGGGTTGGGTGGGTCCTTGGTGCTCTCTGAAAATAGAGGAAGCTTGGAGAGCACTAAGGACTCCTCAAAATTTGGTCGTTTTGAAGGAGGACTGCATTTCTATATATCAACTCGTCCAAAAATGCACAACTGAATTAAATGCCCC